GAAAAAGATCTACCTCAAAATGATTTATCAGGTTGAACACATCTGCCTCCTGTCCCCCCTGGTGTGTTTTTTCTCCTCTGCATCATGCCTACTCATTCTTCCTACTCCCACTAGGGCTGCCAAAACTGCCAAAAGCCAATGCTGGGGGCTGATACTTTCACAGCTATAGAGCTCCCATGACCATAATAGCTAAGCAAGCCTGGCATACTGTGATATGCTAACCCCTCAGAAGCAAGACAGGTGCAAATGGCCTGCAATGTCTATGGGAAGTGAAGGTGAGTAGGGGACAGGGTCCAGCTGGGCTAGGGGCATTTATTGGGCACCATTTAAGCCCTGCACTATAGCAGGTACAACCGGGGGTATGGAGTGGAGTAAAGAAAAGTAGATAGAGGAAAATTCCCAGCACATGGGGAAAGTAACAGCTCTTGAGGGAGATAAGATAAGCACAGAGGTAGAATCTGAGGACTAGTGTGAGGCCCTGGAAACAGTAGGGTCAGGATGAGACTTGCTAAAGTCTCTCCTGAGATAAGACATGGACAGCACTTTGCAAATCACCAACCACCAATCACCAACTCTGAGGCTAAAGTCTCTGTAAAGATTTTGGTACTTAAAAGAAACCGAGATATATTCCAAACAGATGGTTTTTATTTCATCATCCAGCTCTGTGAAGCTCTGTCTGTGTAGCTGTGGGTACATACATAAATACATCTTTATGAGGGAATGGATATGACCTGGATCCCAACCTTCTTTCTGCTTCAAAGCTGTGGCAACTCATTGAGGGGTGCAGGGTTTATTCCATCTGTTTCTAGCTTCTGTCAGTCCTGATCCTGGATTGCTCAGAAGCATGGTTCTCACCTTCTCAGCTCTGACTATCACCTGCAGGTTCCTGAGGAGAATGAGCCACAAGGCATTAGTCTGAAAACCAGCAGAGCTGGGCTGTAGACACTTAATACTTGTTAGTAGTTTACTCACCTGCAAAGAGGGTTTAGGGCTGGTACTGACATTTTGTGGGCAGATCATGTCATCTACTACACTGAAGTAATATGCTGTGCCCATAGAGACTAAAGGGAATGGGACACAACAGTCTTGGGAAAGATACATTTTAGGTTTAAACTTCAGTTTGATAGGTGGTAGAGATGTAAGCATTTCATTTCTGATGACAAAATCACATGCTATGCCTCACTCCAGCTCAATGGTATCTTCCAGAAAGGAACTTTTAACTTTGTCTGGTGCCATGATTTTTGTGGGTGCTGCCAGGAGACACCTTTACATCTCCTGACTTTGGTGTCCAGGGGGACCTACACTCCCAGGTCTTGCAAGACTGTATCCAACAGAAAAGGAGTTGTTAAACAGCTATCACCCCCAGGGCACAGCAAAAGGCAACAGATCCAGGAGCTCAGTCTTCTGTGAAAGAGTCCTATTAGCTTATCATAGCTGCAGCCTGAGGAACAGGCATCTCATTAAACACACACCTAAGACTTGACTGAAAACCTTTTCTGAGACCTCCGAGGGTGGGCACTAATTTTGCATGCTCCCTCTGCCATCCCCCAGAGTGCCAAGCTCTTATGCATATCTGGCACCCAGGTTTTTACATCTGGTGCACCAGTTTCATGGCTGCTGCATAGGGAATACACATCGATCACCTGCCTCTGGCAATGAGGGGGTCTTGTTTTCAGGGCCATCTGGGACTTAAACAATCAGAGAGAGAATTCTTGGTAGGACAGCAACCCCAGGACATTGTACAGACAGCAGACTGAAACCTACCCCCAGCCTTTCTGTGACACTCAGTAGCAAAACAACAACAATAAGCAATCCAATTAAAAAAAAATGGGCACAAGATATGAATAGACATTTTTCCAAAGACAACATACAGATCGCCAACACGAAAAAATGTTCAACAACATCAATAATCATCAGGGAGGGGCACCTGGGTGGCTCAGTCTGTTAAGCGTCTGCCTTTGGCTCAGGTCATGATCCCAGGGTCCTGGGATCGAGCCCCATGTGGGGCTCTCTGCTCAGCGGGGACCCTGCTTCTCTCACTCCCTCTGCCTCTCCCCTGGCTTGTGCACTCTCTCTCTCTCAAATAAATAAATACAATCTTTTAAAAATAATCATCAGGGAAAAGCAAATCAAAACCACAATGAGATATCATATCACACCTGTTAGACTGGCTATTATAAAAAAGACAAGAAATAACAAGTGTGGCAAGGATGTGGAGAAAAGTGAATACTCATGCACTGTTGGTGGGAATATAAATTGTTTTTGCAACCATTATGGAAAGCAGTATGGAGGTTTCTCTATAAATTAAAAATAGAAAAAAATAGAAAAATATGATCCAACAATTCCACATCTGGGAATATATCCAAAGGAAATGAAAACACTAAGGCAGAAAGATATCTACACCCCCATATTCATGGCAACATTATTTACAATTAGCCGATATAGAAATATTCTAAGTGGCCATTAACAGATGAATGGATAAAGAAAACATGATATATATATATGAAATATATGATATATGAAATCTTGCCATTTGTGGCAACATGGATGAAACTTGAGGGCATTATGCTAAATGAAATAAATCAGAGAAAGACAAATACCATAATACCATATGGTCTCACTTATATATGGAATCTTTAAAAAAAAAAAAAAAGCTCATAAAGAACAGATTGCTGGTTGCCAGAGGTGGAGGTGGGGAAAGGGTCAAATTTGTAAGAGAAGTGGAAAGGTACAAACTTCCAGTTATAAAATAAATAAGTCATGGGGATATAATATACATCATGCCAGCTAAAATAAATAATACCATATTGCACATTTGAAAACTGCTGAGTAGATCTTAAAAGTTTCATCACAAGAAACAAAATCTGTAACTATGTATGCTGATGGATGTTAACTGGACTCATGTAGTAATCACTGCATTATATATACAAATATCAAATCATTATGTTTTACATCTGAAACTAATTCAATGTTGTAGGTCAATTGTACCTTAATAAAAATAAGAGAAATTTCTATTCAGAACTTTTGCCCATATTTTAATTGGGTTAGTTGCCTTTCTATTAATAAGTTGTAATCCTGGATATTAATTCCTTATCATATATATGATGTGAAAATATTTCTCCATTGTGTGGGTTGTCATTTCACTTTTTTGATAATGTGTCAAAATACAAATGCTTTTGATTTTGATGAAATCCAATATACCTATTTTTTATTGCTATGCTTTTGGTGTAATATCTAAAAAATAATTTCCTAATCCAAAAGCACAGGAATTGATATCCATATCTTCCAAAACTTTTATATCTGCTCTCTTACATTTAGGTCTTTGATCAATTTTGAGTAGATTTTTATGTATGATGCGAGATGAGGTGAGAGTCCAACTTCAGTCCTTTGCTTGTGGATATGCAGTTGTCCCAACATCATTTGTTGGTGAGACTATTCTTTTCCCATTGAATTGCCTTGGCAGGCTATCTAACAACCAGTTGACTATAAATTTAACAGTTTCTTTCTGGTCTCTAAATTGTATTCCATTAATATATGTGTGTATCCTTATGCCAGTACTTCATAGTTCTGATTACTCTATCTTTTGAGGAAAGTTTGGGAGAAGTACCAGTGCATCTTCTAACTTTGTTATTTTCCAAGATTCTTTTGGTCACTCCAGGTCCTTAGCAATTCCATAAGAATTTTAGGTAAATCTACCAATTTTAACAAAGTAGACAGCCAGGATTTGATGAAGGTTGCATTGAATTTCTAGATCATTTGAGGAGAATTACCATATTAAAAATATTAAGTATTTCTATCCATGAATATGGATGTCTTTCCATATATTTAGGTCTTTAATTTGTTGAAGTATCTTGTGCATTTTCAGAGTACAAGTCTTGCTCCTCTCTTTTTTACATTTATTCCTAAGTATTTTATTCTTTTTCATGCTATTTTAAGTGGAATTGCTTTTTAAATACCTTTCTAGGATTGTACATTGTCATTGTATAGAAATTTAATTGATTTTTTTGTATGTTGGGATTGTATCTTGCAATTTTGCTGAACTCATGAGTTTGGATAATTTTTCCTGGGGATATTTCTAGGGGGTTCCTACGTATAAGATCATGTCCTCTGCAAATAGAGATAGTTTTACTTCTTCCTTTCTAAACCAGATGTATTTCTTTTTTGCTGTCTGTTACAGCTAGAAACTCCAGTACAATGATCAATAAAACTCATGAGAGTGCACATTCTTGTCTTGTTCCTGATCTTAGGAAGAAAGTTTTCCTTCTTTTACTGTTAATATGACATTAGCCATATATACCTTTTATCAGGTCATGATAGTCCCTTCTATGCCTAATTTTATTAATATTTTCCTAGTGTTTTCATCATGAAAGAGTGTAGAATTTTGCATTTTGCCAAGTATTTTCACCCTGCATCTATTAAGATGATGTTACAATTTTTGTCTTTTATTATATAAATGTAGTGTATTAGATTAATTGATTTTTATCTGTTGGAACCAACCTTGCATTTCTGGAATAAATTCCACTTGGTCATGGTGTACAGTTCTTTATATATTACTAGATTTGGCTTCCTAGAATTATACTGAGAATTTTTGTTTCCTACTCCACTATTTTTGATGATGTCACTCCCTCTCTTTCATTCTTGATTTTAGTAATTTGAATCCTCTCTTTATTCCTTGATCAGGTTAGTTAAACATTTGTCAGTTTTGTGAATATTTTCAAAGAAATAACCTTTAGTTTGATTGATTTTCTTTACTGTTTTTCTATTTACCATTTATTTCTGTTCTAATCTTTATTATTTCCATCTTTCTGCTTACTGTGGATTTACTTTGCTCTTAATTTATAGTTTCTTAAGGTGTAAGGTTAGGTTATTGATCTGAGGTATTTCTTTTAGAATAT